AAAGCATGTAGACGGGTAGAATCATGCTTAGAGAGGGATTTTAGACATGTTGGATTATAAACACATATCAGGAACACATAAAAATAGTATGACAAAGGATAGCCACTTGCTAGTTAAGCGAGCAAAACCAGAATAATACCACGAAGTTGAGAGTCCAGAATGTTTGGCCTTGGCTTTCAACTGGCCAAGACCAGTAGTAAGCAAGAGAACAAAGAGAGTATAGAACCAAAAACTTTAAATTTTCGTGGGAGTCTATAGAGTTCGAGTCTTGTCCAAAGGGGGAGAGGGGGGTGGTTTAAAGAATATTCAATTAGGCAAACAAATAAGGGAAGAAATCAAACATACACAAATAAGGAAAGAAATTAAACCCATAATCAATTGTATAGAATTCAGTAAGTTAACTGAGCATAATAGCGTGTAATCAGGCGAGTAACACTTAGAATAAGGAAAATATCATATGGAATCAATTAACAATCAGTTTCAAGGCAAAATAAGGTAAAGGAATAAAGGAAACACGGTAGATTGAACGAAATAAGGAAAATATCAGTACCATGCAAGAAAGGAAAGAGTAAAAGTCTCAAACCCTAGTTTTAAGTAGAATATACAAAATCGGCAGTAATAACAAGCAATGAGATGCATATATGCATATAGGTAGAGATTTTAACACAATAATTAAAGAATCAAATAGATTTGGTTTGATTTCGCAAAATCTAAAATCCCCAATTTAGGGTAAGTAAAAATCAGTCAAAAATTAACAAAGAGAGTTATAATAAGATGCACATAGATATATAGGCAGAAAGATTAAGGGAAAATAATTAATGAATCAAGAACCAGATTAGATCTAGAAAGATATGAACCCTAGTTTTAGGGTAAGCAGAAAATCGCGAAGAATCTCATAGATTCATACCATAAAGAAACGAGAACGAACACGGATGGAAAGAGGTCAAAGATTTGAACCAGATTTGGTTCGAATCTCTTAAGATCTGCTTTCCATTTTAGGCAAGCCATTAGGAAATACCAAAATCGGGTATCCAGTAAGGAGAAGAGGCCAAATAAGGTAAGGAATCATGGATTGATTCCATTTTTGGGTTTAGAATCAAGGAGGTTTGCCTGACGGCGCTAGGGTTTTGAGAGGAAGAAGATGAAGGAGAGGCAGTGTATAGAGAAGGCGGGGTGGGGTAAAATGATTAGGGTTTGGACGGATGGGTATAACTAAAAGGGGTGAGGTGATATGAGCCGTCGATTTTGAGAGATCAACGGTTGTGATTTAAAAAGAGAATTGGGTCGAGGTTTTAAACTGGTGTGGGTCTGGGTATTGGGTGTTTGATGTGGGCTGGTGTATTGGGCTGGGGTAATTGGGTAGTGTAGGTAATTGGGTTAGGTCTGAAATGGGGGTTTTAGGGGGCTATATTTTAAACTCAATTTAACAAATAAATAATTTATAAAAATAATTAATAAATAAATAAAAATTACTTGTGCATGAAAATGATTTAAAATAATTACTTCAATATTATAAAAATATAAAAAGCTATTTTTGTGTAAATAATGTAATTATATATATATATATGGGATATTATTGCAAAAATATGCAATTTTAGCCTAAGGGCGCAAAATAAGTATATATAAAAATATCTAAAGCTTAATATGGATATAAAATGATGAAAAATTAAATAATGAATCATTATAAAATTATTTGTGATGCAATTAATAATTATTTATATAAAATGCAGGATTAAATGATTAAAAGCCTTTAAAAATTATGAAAAAAATACTTGGTGATGCTCATGCACTAATTTGAAGGTATATACGTGTATTTGAGATATATGAGGAAAAAATTGAGTATCAATAGTCGGCCTCCGCCAACCGCAAAATCTCCGATGCCATTTCACCGTCGTCTTCAATGATGATAGTCGCCATCTCGCGCTGCGAAAAATCACCTCCCTCCACGTCGGCGACGCGGGCGACCCCTTCATTAGTATCCATATGCCTTATTTTGCGGGGCATCGAGTCTTCTTTGTCGGTTGCCGATTCCTCCTCATCTTCATCTATGAGACAGTATAATGAGGAGATCGAAGGAGGAGCCGATCGAGATGTACCAACAGAAAAAGTCGTGGCACGAGTAGCGAAAATAATAACTTAAGGAGAAACCGGGGCTGGAGTCGAAGATGGCACTGTAGAAGAAGGAGCGGAATCAGAGTCCTTGGCGTTCTTCCTCTTTCTGAACGCAAGGGCGGGGACTTTCGATCTCATCGAAGACCTCTTGGCTAAAGTTAAGGAAAATGCAGAAAAGAGCGAAAGTCAGCTGAAGAGAACCCAAAGAGAAAACTGACCAAGAAAGCTGGCTTTAAAGATAACTTACTAGTCGGGGGAGGATGAGGGCCAAACATTTTGACAAAGCCCGGCCACTTGCGTATCCCTGCGATGTGAGGAAGAAGTCGACCCCTCCCAGTTAGAAATATCGTCGACCAGAGTAAGAGTTGAGGTGTAGTTGTACAAAAACGAGCGAAAGGTTAAAGTCACGGACAAACACAGTAGGAAATCAGATGGTCACAAATAAAAAAGTCACAAACTTACGAGTATGATTCCAAGCCTCAAGAAAAACGCCGACACCAACCACCACATCCTCTGTTTTCACAAAGAAGTAGTTGAGCCAGAACTGGCAATTAACCTTATCGTCCATCTTCACCACCAAACATTTGCCTCGTCGGTGGCAAAGATTCAACATCGTCCCCTTGTAAAAACTGGGGGCGAACAGGTGCGCCACATGGCGAAGCGTGAGCTCGACCCTAGTAAGCTCTACGGACTTGGTAAGCATTCTCAGGAGTTTGTAAACATATGGCGCGAGCTGAGCCGGGCAAACTCCGTAGTGGTGACAGAACTCCTCCGCCAGCGGAAGCATAGGAAAAGTATAGTTAACAAGGGGTAGTCATAGAAAGCGCAGTCCCCAGGGTGATAAAACTTCACCTCGTCCCACCTAGCGGCGATTAACTTGACGTGGTTAACAATGCCGTATTTAGCCCTGAGCTTTGTCAAAACGTCCTATTTTATCAACAATTTAAGGGTTCCAGGGTCGGATTCGGGCAACTTCGAGAAGTCATACCTAACATCGGGATTTCGAGGAACTATCTCCTCCACCGTTGGGAAGCCTTCATCCTCGGTGGCGGTGGTAGAGAAGTTCCTGCATGAGGAGGAAAAACCATCGACAAAAGAACCACATCGCTCCCCTCATTGGATTCAGAAGGAACGTTAGACATATTTCCACTAAAAATAAGGAGGCGCCGAATAAAGAAGAAGTAGAAACGGCAAGGATCACTAGAACAAGAAAGAAAGTTGCACAACAATGGGGGAAGAGGAGAATATAGGGTTTCGACACCAGAATTTTGTAAACTTTGAAATCATATCCTCATACCCTTATTTATAAGGATTCAGGAATCAGAACCAAAAAGTTGCCTCATCATTATTTGGCACCAAAATCGAAGCGGGTAACGACTAGGGAACACACATCATAATGACGCAAGGCATTGTGATGTCATCATAAATCATGGGTAGTATGGTATCAAAAATTTGCAGCATGCAAAAGGCCACGTTGGACACTCCGCCTCAATCATTACGACTTACCAGCTCGCCAAATTATTTTTGACCGCAATGAATATAATCTGCTCATCAAGTCCGCCCAAGGCCGGTCTCAATAAGCGGAGGGACTAACTGTATGGGTCAAAATCTGCCTTTAGGATGTTCAGGTCAAAATAACAATGCGAGAAGGATCCGTAAATCATCATAAAAACGGTCATGAAGTCATAGTGGCTAAGGTCGAGGAGTCTAAGAAAGTCGTGGTCAAAATAGCGAGGAGTACCAAGATCGAGAAGTCGAGGAGAGTCACGATCAAGTCATCAACAAGGATCATGGTCGAAGAGTCGAGGAGGGTCGTGATCGAACATTGACGATAGAGCTGTAACGACTAGTTTTCAAAATGGAATCAGGAAGGAAATATTCTAGTGAATATTCCCTACATTTGTACTATTATGATTTTTCGGGAAAATGTCCCAGATAAATAGAAGGAAGAAAGAGAGGAAAGACATGTGAAATTCATTCCTGTAAGTACAACACTTTGATAAAAAATTTATTCTTCACTCAATACAAGACTTTACTTTTTCTTAGGATTCTTGCCAGATCCGAGGAATCCTCGACTATTTGAGGATCTGTCATCCAATCATTGTCAGGTGGAAGGTTCCTTTGTTCCACCTTTTGTTGCTTAGATTATTCCTCTTATTTAAGTGATTGCCACCAGATTGACATAAACTTTCCTTTGTTCTACCTTTTGTTGCTTAGATTATTACTCCTAATTACGTGATTGTCATCAGATTAACATTTATTGAATATCTTACATATTGTTAGTTATAAGGCATCTATTGCAATGAATTATTATAGCCTTCATAAATACTTATCAACTATCTCTTTAATATCAAGATTTGAGGAAATTATTCTCAACTAAGATTAACCATTATTTAATTAAAATTAATTATATAAATCAAGATTTACGTTTTTGGGTCAAACAATGTTAAAGGACAAGAAGAAAGTTAACACATAAACAAAATATGATTGTATCCAATGCATTGATCACGGACTGTCAAGTGAGAAAAAGTACTTACAAAAGAAAAAATTAAATATTAAAATAATGTATATCGTTTATATTGTTTTTCTTAATTATCAAATGAAAAACTTATTCTGAAATATATCGATACGATGTCTAACAAATGACAGGTCATCTAAAGTCAATTCAAAGTATCACCATCTATGACATAATCTTTGTAAAGATATCGAGCTTGAGCCTTAACACTGGAAAATCTTTTTTAGTGAATTCTTTACTCCATTATTAGGGCCTTGAAAGTATGAAAGTAAATTAATTGGATCAGTTAGTTTCGTACCCCACCCCACGTTTAGAAAGGAGACATATATAACTCTGGAAGACATTAGGGGATGATCTGCAATTATGACAAACAACGGGGAGGAAAAGAAAAAAAAGGTCTCGCACGTTAAATAGCCCGTCCACCGCGAAAAGGGAGGAGCAACACCTTCCGTCTCGGGAGAGAGGGAAACAGCAAATTCTACTTCCCCATCTGATGCACCATCAATTAAACCCCTCCCATCTTTTCTCCAAAACCCTAGTCTACATTTTCCCTTTCGAAATTCACCACTGTTCTTCCACAAAACCAAACAATTTCACTCCTAATTCATTCAAATAGCAAGTATCCAACTGCTAATTCTTAAAATCACACTATTCTCCAAAAGCTTCTTACTTTCTCGTTCTTAAACCCTAGTTCTCAAGTCTGTTTACTTCAAAGCTTCGGCTTATACAACATGAGTCCCATCCAGAATTTCGAGCAGCATTCTCGGCTCCTTCTCGAACCCGACCTCCGTACTTCACTACCTTTACACTTCACTATATTTTTTTCCTTGTCTTTGTTTTTGTTAATTTTATGTGTATATTTATCCCTTGTTTTATTGTTCTTTAACAGCAATTCAAACAAGACTACAGATGGCAATGGAGGTACGGGACAGTTTGGAGATAACACACACAGGGGAGTATTTAAATTTTCTTAAATGTTATTTTCGTGCATTTTCCGGTGTCTTATATCAAATTACAAAGCCACAGTTCGCGGACAATCCTGAACATAAGCTGAGGAACATTGTGGTTGAGATACTGAATAGGCTTCCTCATAGTGAAGTCCTAAGACCGTTTGTACAGGATCTATTGAAGGTGGCAATGCACGTTCTTACAACGGACAACGAAGAGAATGGCTTAATTTGCATCCGTATTATTTTTGATTTGCTTAGGAACTTCAGGCCTACTTTAGAAAATGAAGTTCAACCCTTTTTGGACTTTGTTTGTAAAATCTACCAGAATTTTAGGGCTACTGTGAGTTATTTCTTTGAGAGTGGGGCGATGGCAGTTCCTCCACCGCCCGCCCCCACTTCGTCTGTGTCGTCTTTGGGTGAGTCAGACATGAAGCCAATGGAGGTGGATCAAATGAGTACTTCTAGTGGGGGGTATTTTGGTGCTGGTCAGCTTAATCCCAGTACGAGATCATTTAAGATAGTTACTGAGAGTCCGTTGGTAGTGATGTTTCTGTTTCAGTTATATAGCCGGCTGGTCCAGACGAACATTCCCCATTTGTTGCCCTTGATGGTTTCAGCCATATCAGTGCCAGGTCCTGAGAAGGTGCCTCCTCATTTGAAGACTCACTTTATTGAGCTCAAGGNCCCTGAGAAGGTGCCTCCTCATCTGAAGACTCACTTTATTGAGCTCAAGGGTGCACAGGTTAAGGTAAGGTTTTCATTCTCTTTAGAATACTCTTTAGTTGTTGAGTAAATTGGTGCAAGGTCACCTCCTTTCTAGGACGATTCTGATAATTAAGTGATTGACAATATCTCGTGACAGTTCTCTGAGTTGTTGTCAATGGAGAAAAGAACTTAATTCTATTTTTATTCTTGTTCCTTTTCCTTTATTTTATTTGACATTGCCTTTATGCTCATTTATGGAGCACCTAGTACATTCTGCTAAGCAATGTCTAGCGGGCTTCTTCTGCCTGTTAGCTGTCTAGAATGCATGGACCATTTTTCTCTTTCATTACTGTAATATCCGGAGAGTGTTAGCTCATCAACTATTAGGCCATCAACCGTTGAAGCACTACATGGTACGATTGTCTCCTAAGATGGCCATCATTGTAGGATTAGTGGCCAGAAACGTACTATGTTATCATATATAGCTATCTTTTCTTTTCCAGGGGAACACTATAGGAGTAGAGAGAAAGCATACACTTATTTTAATAGTCCTCATTTTTCATCCTTTGGTTGGTAAAGTCTTATTTTTCTTTTGTCTTTTTTTCTTTTCTGCTTTAAACTTACTTAACCTTATTTTACGCTCTTGATCTGGATAGGTTGATGATCAGGGGTTGTTGGCCTCCTGCATTTTTGCGAATTCAATTTTTTCTTGCTAATTTGTGTTTGTTCTTTCTTAGCTGTCCGTTCAAGCATATTCCCTATGCGTTAAATTAGATTTACCCCATTTGACTATAGGACACATGAAGAAAGGAAAGTTCGCCTAACTTGTTTCATTGGACTTATTGGAACTCCGTGTTGTGTAAATAACTTCAAATTTTGTTACAACAACAACAGCAAAAAAACATAGTGGAATCTCACAAGTGGGGTCTGGGGAGTGTATTGTGTACGCATACCTTACCCCTACGCTTAGGAGGTAGAGAGGGTGTTATCAATAGATCCTCGGCTCAAGAAGATGAAAAGCAACAATAGAAACAAGCATTATCAACCACAAATGCTAGAAAGATAATAATAACAATCTAAGAACTAGTATGCGAATTAAGCAATAGCAACAAGTCGTAACAACGACAAGATACTGAGAAACCGAAGCGAAAAACAAGATAGTAGGTGTGAGAAATATGACGGGAAAATTATATTATTAATATACCCTAACTATAATACAAGTACCCCTATTTATAACAATGCACAATACCTACACTACTCCTATTCCATGTAGGATTATGCTTATTTATATAACAACTAACTAACTAATATTCCCACTCAACCCGGTCATATAAATCATATGTACCGAGCTTGTTACATATATAAGTAATACGAGGATTAGTGAGGGACTTGGTGAAAATATCTGCAAGTTGATCATTCGACTTCACAAACTTTGTAGCAATATCTCCTGAGAGTATCTTTTCTCTGACGAAGTGACAGTCAATCTCAATGTATTTAGTGCTCTCATGGAACACCGAATTTGATGTAATATGAAGGGCAGCTTGATTATCGCACATAAGTTCCATCTGGCTGATTTCACCAAATTTCAACTCTTTGAGCAATTGTTTGATCCAAACTAGCTCACATGTTGCCATAACCATTGCTCGATATTCTGCTTCTGCACTAGACCAAACAACTACATTTTGTTTCTTGCTATTCCAAGACACCAGATTGCCTCCAACTAAAACACAATATCCAGACATAGAACGTCTATTAGAAGGTGATCTTGCCCAATCGGCATCTGAGTATCCAACAATCTGCTCATGGCCTCGATCCTCAAACAATAATGTTTTACTTGAAGCCGATTTTATATACCGAAGAATGCGGACAATTGCATCCCAATGGCTATCACAAGAAGAATCCATAAACTGACTTATAACACTCACATAAAAGGAAATGTCAGGTCTGGTCATTGTGAGATAATTTAATTTACTAACCAGCCGCCTATATCTTGCAGGATCGCTAAGCAGCTCCTCCTGTCTTGGAGCCTGTCATTCTTGTCTCCTCAAGAATGTCTAAGGCATACTTCCGTTGTATGATCACAATACCCGAGCCAGACTGAGCGACCTTAATACCCAGTGATCAGCTTCACTCCGAGTCATGCCAAACTCCTGGATAACTGTGCTGAACTTACCAAACCAGGCTCGAGGAGACTACTTTAGACCATAAAGTGACCAGCGCAAGCGACATACAAGGCCACGAGATACCATGAGAAATATGATACGGGAAAATTATATTATTAATGTACCCTAACTATAATACAAGTACCCCTGTTTATAACAATACACAATACCTACATTACTCCTATTCCATGCAGGGCTATGTTTATTTACATAACAACAACTAACTAACTAACAATATGAAAACAACATTTAATACTAGTAATCTAAGAATAAGACACTTTCATACTAACCCTGAAACCCCAGGTACGGAACAAAAAAACACTCGATTACCTACTAACCTTCTACTCTAATTCTTGGCCACCACACCCTCCTATCAAAGGTTATGTTCTCGATAAGCTGAAGTCGCGCCATGTTCTGCCTTATCACCTCTACCCGATGCTTCTTTGGCTGCTGTCTACCTGTTCTCATACCCAACAACAAAAATCGCTCACACCTTCTTACTGGGGCATTTAAGCTTCTCCTCTTCACATACCCAAACCATCTAAACCTCACTTCCCGCATCTTGTCCTCGATGGGAGCCACACCTGTTTTAATCCGGATATCTTCATTTCTAATCTTATCCAACCTAGTATACTCGTACATCCATCTCAACATCCTCATTTTTGCTACTTTCATCTTTTGTATATGAGAGTTCTTGACTGGCCATCACTTTGGCCCACACGACATAGTTGGTCTAACCACCACTCTGGAATTTACCTTTAAGTTTTGGAGGCATATTCTTGTCACACAAGATGCCAGACGCTAACCTCCATTTCATCCACCCCGCTCCTATATGATGTGTGACATCCTCGTCGATCTCCCAAGTGTCTTTCTTGTAACTTCCGCTCCTTCTGTTGCATCAGTGAACTTGCACTCCAAGTATTCTGTCTTAGTCCTGCTCAACTTGAACCATTTAGACTCTAGGGTCCCTCTCCAAACCTTCCAACTTGTCGTTAACACTGCCTCGCATCTCGTCAATCAGTACTATGTTATCTGCGAATAACATATACCATGACACCTCCCCTTATAACTTAATGTTGAAGAAATATAAATTGATAATAAACACAAATAAAAAATAGTGAGGATAGGGAGCGTGAGAGTGTGAATCAATGCGTAAATAAGTACCCTTTCAATAGAATGATAAACCTCCTTTGTTATTGTTAGTGTGTGGTTATAAAGTTAATATTGGGAGTAACATGTGAAAGGTTTAACCATCACATAATAGCTACTTTACTCTCCCTTTATCATTGGCACAAACAATATTTGAAATACCCAAGGGTGGTTCGTGAAGGCGAATCAAGACGAGAGAACCCAAAAAGAGTGGTGTTATTTACGTTCGATTATTGAGACATGTCTTTCCCTATGTAGTGAAAGTACCGTTAATATTGATGGTTAAAAATGGAAAGCCGGTCAATTAAGGTTCTTATCCAAAAAAAGAAAGAAAAGAAAAGAAAATTTGAAGTAGGTTACCTATAGAAAAGAAGCAAAATTGGAAGTAGGTCTAGCGAGGTGTTTGGAAGCAAGCCAGAAAGAAAAAGAAAAAGGAAGAAGAAATAACATTTTTAGTAACTAAGTTGATAATTTTAAATCTATTTCTGAACATGTATTTGTGGAACTACGAGACCTGAAATATGTTTCTGAATAGTGTTACCAAGTCAATTTGTGCAATTGCATGAGTGGCTGCTTGTTCAAGTGTATTCTCTTATGTAATGGAGCTACAAACCTCTTTTGTACCTACTGCATCGTCTTGATGCCGTCAATGAAGCTTCTTACTTTATAAAAAATAATAATGATTGTAGCAAGTATTTGGCTACTTTTACATGGCTTCTCGGTGTTGTCCCTTCTTGTTTTTCTTTTCATTAATGTGGTGCTTATGCTTTCCTGAGCTGAGGGTCTAACAACCTCTCTATCTCCATAACATAGGGGTAAGGTTTGCGTATACACTGCCCTCCCTAGACTCCACTACGTGGGATTATACTGGGTATGTTGTTGCTGTTAAGTCAATAATTTTCTTTTTCCCTTTCTTTTAAAAATATTTTTTATTAGCTCAATGGTTTGTGGGTTGTCTGATTGATTGTATTAGTACAAATTATCCCAGCATAAAGTCTCGTGTAAAATAATAAAATCCTCACATAAGAAAAAACAATTGCCACACAATTAATGTAGTTTTGTTTAGTCACATAAGAAAAATAATCTCCGCATGACTAATGAGAGCGTTTGGTTGATGGTATTAAATAATATCTCCATTACGTATCGAAAATAGTATCCGCATTAAGTTATGCATGAATCTGTATATTATTTTATGTGGAATTACGTGTGGAATGAGAATACGCGCAGTTGCAATGCAGGAATAAACTATTTAATGACAAAAATGCTATAATTATTGCATAGCAATAGTTTCATTATTAATCACTGCATGTAACAATCCTTTTATTTTCATTCATTGCATAAATGATCCATGCATTATAAACTGTATGACTAGTATGTGAACCAAAAAGCCCTTTGGAGTTATTCTCCCCAGCCCTTTATGTCCCTCAGTGTAGACTAATTGCTGCAATTAGCTTAGAGTTAGCTGGTGAAATGACATATTTCTCTTTCCATTTGCTTTCTTTCTCCTTATTTTTGTATGTGATCAATATACTATTCCTGAATTGAAGATCTTTGATTTAACTGTTGGGGAAACATCAATAATTGATCGTTTAGAGTCAGTTTTGTCAAAGGCATGCTTAAAGCGCGCTTAAGCACTAAAGCGAGGCTCAAAACATGTTGAGTGCTCCCTGTCGCTTAGCGGGCTCTTCAGTGTTGTCATCAAGGCTCTAAGGCATATTTTTCCTTGCCAATTAGTGTAATCTCGAAGAGGCAACACTGAACAATGATATTTCACTTGATCGTAATTCTTTTTCAATTTCTTTGTCCATATATTTGTTATTCACACTTACAATTTTTGGTCTTGGACTATACATACATATTTGTATTTTTTTCTCCATTTGCGTCTTTCTTCATTAAAGCCCACGCTTTATTTGCGCTTTGCACTTAAAGCCCGAATGGACTTTAGAGTTTTTTTGCGCTTTTCGCCTTAGATAACATTGTTTAGAGTAACCTTACTAAAATTGATGTTCTTGAGTGAATTTGTAAGGTCTTTGCGCATTAAATACCAACACGATAAGAAATTGAAATCTATAACAAAAGTCCATCCCCAACTCAATATCACCACCCACCAACCAAAAAAATAAACTAAGTACAAGGGTTGATTGTTTTTGTGATTTCTGATGCTATGTCCAAGCGTAAGCACCCCAAAAGAAGTGGCTGCGGCGTTAAAGAGTTTGTGTGGCAACCTTGGTACCAAGGTTCGAATGCCATCAGAGGTGACACTAGGTGAAATTTTCCTATATGTCTAAGTTTAGGTGGGTAGAAATATCTAGTATCTATGTTGGTGGGAGGAGTAGGTACTCGGTGAATTAGTCGAGGTACACACAAATTGGCCTAAAATCATATTATTAAATAAAATTTGTGTCCAAGCACAAGCTGTTAAGTTTGAGGTGAATGTCCCATAGTTTTACTAATTATTTCACCAAAAATGAATGTCCCTGACTTTTTAATATTATTCTACCTCCATTGTCGAAAAATTGGGAGATAAGTTCGTCTGTGCTTATTTTGTTTTTTTTCTTTCTGTTCACCTTTATCTACTTAATTTCAGATAACTTACCTTTTCCTTTCCATTTTGAGGGGGAAGACTAAGTAGACTTCTTTTGTGCAAATCTGCAGACAGTTTCTTTCTTAACGTACTTATTGAAGAGTTTCGCTGACTATATAAAGCCGCATGAAGAGGGTATTTGTAAAAGCATTGTGAATCTGCTTGTCACATGTTCGGACTCAGTCTCTATCCGAAAGGTGAACTTCTTGAGATGCTGCTTGTGAACCTGATTTCTCTTTCTTTTGCGATAGTTGCAAACTGAACTTTGTTCTTTCAGGAACTGCTAGTGGCCCTGAAACATGTTCTTGGGACAGATTTCAAGAGGGGGTTGTTCCCCCTTATTGACACGCTTTTGGAAGAGAGGTAAACTTTCAATCAGAAGTAGGCTGGGAAAAAAAGCTCATGCTTTCTTGTGAATCTTCAGAGATTTTCTTATATGAGGTTGATAATGTTCCAAGTCATAAAAAATTGTTCACGAAGTGTCCCCCATTCACCATTACATGTAAAGAAGGTGTCCCTGCACTTGTCTTGTCCCACATTACTCGCCTTTTGACCCAGTTTGGCATTACCGGAAATATATTCCTGGATAGGATGTTTCTGAACTGCATGCAAAATCTGATATGTGGATTGCAGGTGGGCTCATGGGCAATTTTTGGAACTAGGTTTATTGAACTGTGCTTAAAGTACTGCGCCTTTTGCGGCAGACAATTGGAAAGGGTAGATTGGAAACTGTATTAGTAGAATAGCCATCAATATTGAATAAAACTGTCGCTGTTCCACAAGAAAAAGAATGCGCTAAGTCGCAACAGCTAGAGGTGAAAGATATGCAGCACCAGTAGCGGATCTAAGATTTTAAAGTCATGTATGCTCGTCGGAAAGAGTTCCAGAAAAAGACAGTAAAAGAATTAAGCTGTGGGTGCTAACTCATTACACATCTTAATTTTTTGCTGATTGCCTATATAAATATACTAAATCCGGATAAAGACAATGGGTGCTGTGCTTGAGCACCCATAACTCTCTATGTAGATCCGCCATTGTGCAACACTCACATTATCTGCGTCCAGGAGGTAGAAGATAAAGTGACAATAGTATCATATACAGCTTGATTCACACTAGATGGTAAAAGAATAAGATATTGCATCATAACCAGTGTTATCAAAGGCGAAAAGCGTAAAAAAGCTCTAAGGTTTGTTGGGGCTTTAAGTGCAAAGTGCAAATAAAGCGTGAGCTTTAATGAAAAAAGGCGCAATGGAAGAAAAAGTTAAAATATATATATGTAGTCCAAGACCGATAATTATAAGCATGAATAACACATATACAGACAAAAAATTGAAAAATAATTACGATAAAATGAAATATCAGTTGTTTAGTGTTGCCTTTTCAGGATTGCACTCATAGGCAAGGAAAAGTTATGTCTTAGAGCCTTGATGCGACACAGAAGCGCCCCCAAAGCGAGGCGAAGCACTCAACATGTTTTGAGCCTCGCTTCAGGGCTTAAGCGCGCTTAAGTGCGCCTTTGACAACACTGATCATAACTAGCTTGTTTTTTGTCCGGTTGCGTTGCTTGTTGTTCCATATTCTTCTTTTCCCTTTTTACCTTATTTAATGATATTATTTTCTAATTGTTCTAAGGCTTCATAGATTTGAGTGCCGGCTGCCTAGTTAATAGGTATGACCTATAACCATTCTCAGAGGAACTTGCCAGTTGCAATGTCCACCACTTTGTCTTAGTAATCATTTTAATTATGCTGGAATTTTAACTCATATGAGGTTATCTTGAAAATGGAGATTTCTAACTGAAATAGGATGGTGATTGGTGTGTGAGTCTAGGAGAATTTAGAATTCTCTACCTTCAAAAGTCACCCAAATTTCTGGATCTTTGAAAGAATAGTGCTGCCACTTCTTAGGCGTCTCTTCGTACTCTTTGACAAGCAAGAGAAAAGAAGTTGTGAAAGGAGAATAGAATAGAAAAACAATTGTCGAATTGTTTCTCACTAACAACATACAGTTGGAGGAGGGCTCCTTAGAATTTTTTTTAACTCCGTTAAATTAGGAAAGTTATCTTATTCTTGAGATTTAATTTAGTAGGATTATGATACAAAATTTATATTTATAAAAATGATACAAATTTTTATATTTCTTTGTTTGACTTACATAATTACAAAGAATATTTTGCATAATATTTCTCTTTCCTCTCAAGATGTCCCCTTAAACTATAAGTAATAAAACTGAATTGCTTATTTTGAATGTAAGAAACATTGATATACCTGTCTAGGGAACAATCATCTTGATTGTATCTTTGGAATAGTCTTTATAAAAAAAAGTATCTTTGGAATAGTGAATGATTGTCGAAAAAGAGTTATGTTGGAATTCTTACCCTTGGGAAGTCGTTTGTAGTTGCACAAAAATGGCAATTCTTGTAGTACGAAAGGAAATAAGTCTCTGCTTGGTTAAACAAAGAAATATGTTGGCACAATTCTCTAGGATATTCACTGGTACTTGGATTGGCAGTTGATGTGTAACTGAAAAAGTTGCCAAAACGATGATCAGAAATTCAATTTCAAAGAAGGGACTTGATGCCCAAAAGAAAAAGAACAAAAAATGACTTTTGGATTGAGACCATAAATTCAAATTTTCAAAGTGATTAAATATCTAAACTTTAACATTATGAAAATAAAGAAAAAATTGAGACAGATGTTTTTTTTTTCCTTTTTCGAGAGACTGATTGGAGAAGGATAGTAAGATGTTTCAGAGAATGACTTACTTGAAATTCTCCAGTGGTCTAGTAGCCAAGGGAGCGGGAGGAGAACCATAAGGTCTCAGGTTGAGATCCCATCGGAGGTAAAACGAAAATACTAGGTGATATCTTCCCGTTTGTCCTTGTAGACAGAATTACCCAATAAGTGTGCTAGTGGGAGGTTGTAGGGTTCCTGTGGAATAGTCAAAGTACGTGCAAGCTGGTTCAAATACCACCGTCATAAAAAAGGGAATGACTCACTTGAAATGTCACGTGAATAATTGCTAAAATAGTAGCCATCTATGTACTCTATATAGTGCTCTATGTACACTATATAGTACCACTGGATAATTACTGAAAAGAGTTTTTCTTTTCAACACTTTTGTAGTGGTCATCAAGGAGAGACTTGGTGTTCTTTGAAGGATTACCAAAAATAGAAGTTGTCTCGCGAGAATGATCAGGAAACAACACAACTAAGCCTCAACAGTGAGATAGCTGGGGTTGGTAAATCTCTAAATAGATTAAAAAGACTGTGTAAACACGAGACCAAATGTAAGCATACAGCATGGTTAAACCTTAATTCCTTCATTTGGTATCGCCCATATGGATCTTTTACTTCCATTTTTCTTGTATATTTTTCCCGAGTTTACATGGATTCCAAGAAACCATAGGTTTTTGAGACAGTTTTCTTCCACATGATTTTAGGTCTACATCTTTCCAATTTTTACACCTTCAATCATCATGATTTAATACATGTGGATCGGTGCATTTGGAGATCGATATAGGATATGGCCAAGCATATCTCAAGCAATATCCGGCTATCCGCTTGTTTTACTCTTTTTGTGCTACTTGCTGTATGTTGGAGGTCTATGTAGGACATGAAAATCATCTCAAATGACACTCTTGTTTTATTCTCAATGGAGTTGTTTGGTTACCGGGACTAATCCCAGTATAAAATTTGGGATTACAACACTCCAATGTTTGGTTGTGTGTATAAGCTATATTCGGTATAAATTTTGTATCAAACTTTTGTATTATTTATTGCACATTGGATGTGGGATAATAATCCCAGGATTATAATCCTTGGGTGACGTTGTTGTTGGCTTACCAAAATAACCAAATCACCCCTATGTGGTGCTACTTGCACTTTATGTTGTATGACCGCACATCTATCCTCACATCTTCGTTTTTGCAACACATATCTTGTGTATGTATAGCCTTGGAGGCTCATTATTCATTCCCTTGTTACATTGCCAATTTTACAAGCGATCTATAGACTTGTATTTTCTTTGGTGGCATCCTTGTCTCTGTTTACCTTTCCGTTGCACTTCTCCATTTTAACTATCCCATTATAATTCTGTGTTTTATATTGTTACATCTTCATCTATCCTACATTTGTCGTAGACATTGAACTTAAATTAAACTCCTTCAGGGTCCTTGTTGGAACCGGTCGTGCATGCTTTGAGACATTGAGGCCTTTGGCTTATAGCCTATTGGCGGAGATTGTTCACCATGTCAGGGGGGATCTTTCTTTGTCCCAGGTATTGCATGTTTTGATACTTGTGCTTTTCTGTAAGAACATGCTGATTTCCATGGTAGTCTGATATTCTTGTTGTCTCCTTAGAGATATTTCTTGGTGAAATTCTGGTGAAATGGATAGTGTGAATGCATGTGATGAATGCTTTTGCACCTGCTCCCTAGTTCCTCAACATTATGTAAGGTTGTTTGCTTCGATTTCTGTAACGATTATGGAAGTTGTTTTCTTTGGATAAAGGCCTTGCTAAGGAAAAACTTTAATGGATAAATGGGACTAGTTGAATCCTGTTCTTGAAAAAGAAGCTGAAGAGAAAAGGGGTCAAAATGCCTCATAGTCACTTTTTCAATTAATTAATGCTTGAAATGTTACCAATCCCACCCTACACCCCCC